AAGACTGCGAATATCTATTTTAAACTATATTAGAAGAGTTTGTCCGGCAGGGTTTCCCTGACTCTTCTTTTGTTGATAACAGTCTATGGACTAAGCAATATCACTAACACTCTTGAATATGTATCAAAACATAACTTTATTTTATTTTATAAAATCAGCAAAACAATAATGTCTGACATTTGTCATTTCACAAATAACAAATTTTATCCTACTTTATGGACACATTTCCAACAAACTCCCACTTGGACTTAAAGTAGGTGTGTACAATCTCGCATGCCCAAACCCTCCAGATGGCTATCTAAGACTTTACCAGATAAAGCCTTTGTGAATGGATCAGCCAAGTTGTCATGTGTTGATATCTTAAAGTAGGTTCCTTAGAGTTTGTGACAGCCCCACTGTTATCGTAATACAGTACCATGGGCCTATCAGCTTCCGGAACAATTTCCAGTGATACAAGGAACTTCTTAAGCCATACGGCCTCTTTTGTAGCTTCACAAGCTGCCACATATTCGGCCTCCATGGTGGAGTTAGCTATGCAAGTCTGCTTAATACTCCTCCATACCACCGAACCCCCATTCAGGACAAACACTGATCCTGAAGTGGATTTCCTGGAATCCTTGTCCGATTGGAAGTTGGAGTCGGTGTATCCCGTCATAGTCAGGTCAGTACCTGAATATACAAGCATATAGTTCCTTGTTCTCCTAAGATACTTGAGGATATGCTTGACAGCAACCCAGTGCTCGGGTCCAGGGTTAGACTGGAATCTACTCACCACGCCTACCGGGTAGCATATATCAGGTCTGGTGCAAAGCATTGCATACATGAGGCTTCCTACGGCTGAAGCGTAAGGAACTCGGCTCATGTCTTCCTCTTCTTGATGAGTCTTGGGAGACTGCTCCTTTGAGAGGGATACTCCATGTCTGAAGGGTAGATAACCCTTCTTGGAGTTTTGCATGGTGAATCGGTCCATTACCTTATCGATATAGGATGCTTGAGATAGTGCCAATTGTTTGTTCTTCTGATCTCGAAAGATTTGAATTCCCAGAACATAGGCAACTTCTCCTAGATCCTTCCTGTCAAACTGCTTTGCCAGCCAGAGCTTAACCTCAGTCAGTCTTCCTACATCATTCCCAATGAGTAGTATGTCATCCACATATAAGACTAAGAAAACCACTTTGCCTTCTTGTATCAGCTTATACACACAAGGCTCATCCAATGACTGAACAAAACCATAAGTTTTAACAGTCTCATCGAATCTGATATTCCATGATCTGGATGCCTCCTTTAGTCCATAAATAGATTTTTGCAATTCACGAACCTTTTCTTCTTGACCCTTTTCAATGAATCCATCTGGTTGTGCCATATAAATGCGCTCATCCAGGTTGCCATTCAGAAAAGCTGTCTTCACATCCATCTGCCAGATTTCATAATGTAAGGCAGCAGCAATGGATAGAAGAATGCGGATGGATTTAAGCATAGCCACCGGAGAGAAGGTATCCTCATAGTCAATTCCTTCTTTCTGGGTGTAGCCCTTGGCTACTAGTCTTGCTTTGAATGTCTCTACATTCCCATCTGGACCCCTCTTCTTCTTGTAGATCCATTTACACCCTACGGGTTTTACCTCTTCAGGAGGATCTACCAGAGTCCATACGCCATTTTTATACATCGATTGTATTTCGGCATTCATGGCTTCATGCCATAGGTTTGCTTCAGAACTTGCCATAGCCTGCGAGTAGGAGACAGGTTCATCAACGTCTAAATCTGAGACTGCAGTCAATGCATCTCCATAAGACATATACCTATCTGGTTGTCTCACGACCCTCCCACTACGTCGAGGCTCTATTTGTGTTAGTTCTTGTTATGGTTCATCTGTTATCGGTTCAGGAATAGAACGTGGACATGTTACCTGAACATTTTCACCAGTCAATTCCTCAAGTACAAGCCTGCTTCTAGGCTTCATATTCTTCACAAAATCCTCTTCCAGAAAATGAGCATTCGTGCTAACGAATGTTTTCTGATCGGTAGGACTATAGAAGATGTAGCCTTTTGTCC